TTTTTTTTTTTTTTTTTTTTTTTTTTTTTTTTTTTTTTTTTTTTTTTTTTCATCGTCGATGACTTTTGTCACAATAATCAAGAAAAAAAAAACAAAAAATTAATTTACGTCTGTTCAGAGACTTGAAAAACAATAACGAGCGTGATGCAGAGAGAGTCTCGAGATAAAAGTGACGACAGCAGCTGCGGTTGACGTTATCTCGCGCGTCGCTGCACCGCTTGTTTAGCGAGACGCTTTTCGGAAAGATTCAATGTCTCCAGCTATAGCGGGCCTCGCTATTTTTTTCCCTCCTCTTAAATAATGACATCTATAGATGGTGCATTGCATTGTAAAGGGCAATGACATTATATGAAAGATTGGTTTTTTCGAATGTGCTAAAAAGCTTGCCAAGAGCGTGATAACATTTACATTTGTTGATTAAGTGTATTGACAAAACTCAGGCTAACGATATATTGGAAGAAAAATGGTGCAATGATTTTTTCCAGCCTTATTTTTCACAAAATTTAATGCCACGAGAATAAGTTTTTCAATTATGATATCAAACCTGCAACTTATAACAATAGAACTATATAGGCAGTAAGCTCTCGTTACTCATTTGTTTGTGTTAACACTCGCATGCAGTGATCAAAAGTAAATCACCATTGCGTGCGCACGGAGGTCGACAAACCTTAGTCAGCGGAATATCGTTTATCTACGGTTTAATCTTGATTTTCAACTCTTTTGTACACTATAGCTCTCTGTTAATCCCACCAATCGACAAAACAACCATTATTCATTCGTTATAATTAACGTTTGTGAATTTTTCGCTTTACGAACAATGTGTCACTGCGTCGTGCAAACGAGCGCGTGATTCTCCCGTAATTTGGCAGCTCGAAAAACTTTCGTCTCCCTGATGTGAATTTGCCAAAATCATCCGAGTAAAGATAGAGAGAGAGAGAGAGAGAGAGAGAGAGAGAAGTGGAAGATAACGCTCGTTTGTTTGCCAGTGCGATAAATCGAGGAAATCGAAGATTGCTGGGACCTCGACCGCGTGAGCCCCCATTCATTCCTCGTAACTACTTCATTGATTATCCGGAAAAATCGAGATGAACATCAATCTGTCAAAAGCGGAAAAAGACGGGCGAAACCTGTTGATCCTCACTCCCAATCGAGTCTTGTCTCCTGTGTCACCTCTGTACAACGCGGAGTCAGCAGGTGGAGACGTCCAGAAAACAAGTACCTAAACCCCTTTCCCTATAACGTGTGCATAGCAAGCCTCGAGGGAGCGATTCGCCCCGCGTCTTCTGGTTATGATATACCGTGTCCGCCACACTCGATCCAAGCCGGAAGTACCGAAATTTCGTACACATTGTCCACTCGCTTCCCCGAGGATTCTCGTTCTGCGCGATACCACCGAATTCTCTTGACATTGGCAATCTCTCGTCTACACGTGGTATAAGTAAACACACCCCGTAACCCAACGGCTTCTCGCGTCAAACTCCGGCAATCCAACTTTCTTTTCAATTCATCCCCGTGATGCTTCTCTCCGTATATCGGCACCAGCTATCAATGTTTGCGCGAATTAATGCATGAATCGCCGTTCGCAAGCTCGTCCCTGGCGGCAATCAGTCACAACCCTCACCCATTTCTTCAGCCCCGGTATCCCCTCGTTTTTTGCTCTGATAAGTATTTAAAATAATCTCGCGAGGACGGAACAATCGTGTATAAAAATTTAATAAAAATTAAACATAGTGTCATTTCGGTGTGGGTTCAAGAACGCGAGATCCCACCCGTTGTACTTATATGTAGATTATCCTGGCAGACAGCCGGATTTCTGGCTCTATACGTGCATAGTTCTCTCGGCTCGTGGTGATACATACATACATACATACATACATATATGTGATGTATACATCATACCGCTTCACACACGCGTGTATATATATATATAGGTATACACGGTACAATAATATAAATATAATGTGTTTGATAGGTATATGTGTGTGTAGGATGCCCAGTTACCTCTATACTGCCAAGTGTTGGCAGTCGGAAGAAGAAGGGCCAACGGGGCAGTAGTGTGTGTCTACGTATACCTACTTGTCAGCCTGGCCAGTAGCTCTCTGGTGCATGTGCAGTCAAAGTCACGAGCTCGCCTAATTTGCGCGCTTGCTCGTTAACGCGCGTGTGGTGCTTTTTTTCTTCGTCAATTTTTAAATAAGTACAGTTTTGTAATTAAATACTTACTGCCTTTTGAACAATGGATACCGTCGACAACATCGAGAGCGATCTGTGGCTCGAGATTTACCTCAAGTTAAGTACTCCCCTCCCCCCCCCCCCTCGGTCATCTACCCTTAACTCTGAACTTGAAGTTATATACCGGCTGATAATAAGTACAACTGTGCACGCAGATGTGCTTAAAATAAGCACACGTACCTATGCATGGTTAAAACACATAATATAACCGTAGATGCAGGTTTTTCAACGTCACGGTGCAGTGCAGAACCATCAGATCTCGCGTGCTTAGGGGACATAGCTTTTGATCGTTCGAATAACGTGTGCACCGAGAGCTTGCAGTGTCGCAGGAACGATGACGTAAACTCGCTCTGCACTAGCATCTTCTTGCCTTTTTTTATTTATTTATTATTTTTTTTTTTACTCTACGCGCATGTAACTCGTCGTGTATACATATAACTGACCCTCATTGGTTTCCTTTTGGTTTGATTTCGGCCGAGCATTAAGATTCAAGTGATTCGACCGTAAGACGTACAGTTTTTCATTGACAGCGCGCTCGTGCCGAGTGGGAAAACTATGTGACGCCGCGCTACTACGGTTATAATATAATATTATATTGCAAGATCGTTCATTTGAAATCACGCATATCATAACCATATGTATATGTACATACGTCAGAGCGGTAGTTCGCTCTAAATCGGCGGCGGTGATTTGTGGGATGGACGTGCATATATACTAGTGTGCTTGAGTATACGTATTTTACAGCTTCCAATAAATTAAAGCGTTTTGCTGTCTGAAATTTCGAAATCCGATAGCGTCCAACGAATTGAATAATTGAATTTCCTACCACACCTTTTGGTGTTTCTCCTTGAAAAAGTGCCCCGTTTTATTGTGAAAAAAAGAAAATAAAACTAGTGGCAATTTCGACAACGTGCCTTGGACGTGTAATTCGACTCACTTGGATACTTACCCGTTGCCTCAATTTGCTGGAACAAACGATCGCGCATGTATAGTTGGATGTGAATCACCGACGTTGAATTTTTTACTTACTTGATCTCTTATCAAATCTACGTTATTCGACGATTCGCCCGGTTAAATGCCGCGTACAGTCACGCGTTTTCAAATAGCTCCAAAGTCAGATTTCACGCGCAGTGGGAGTGATCGATTTAAATACGAGTCGGAGATTTTTCGAAGCAAAGTCACCAAAAACGTTCATAATATACGTGATTGAAACTGTATGGATTCAGCTATATGTATACCGTGTCCCAAAAATGACTTGTACCTATAAAAATTCAGATGATCCACGTGAGTATTTTTCATTACTCTCTGTTGAGGACACTCGCGCGTGATAAGTATACCTACGAGTAGTTTTTTCTACGATCATCCACCAAAGAACCATACACTTGTATTATACGTGCAAAAAGCGTATCGTCGGTAAACTCGAGACACTTTGTGACTCGCGTTTTCCGTATCTTCCAAATAATAGTGATGATAACAATAAATGTTAGTACGTAGGGATCTTTTTGATTCGTCGAATGGATATACAGGAAGAATTTTACAAGACATTTTATACGACGATTCGATAAACTGCAGCTTACGTAAGCTTATCCGGCGATCGTTGATTTTTATATAGGCATACGTTGCAAGTTGACAATAACAGTCAACTCCGCGCGTAAGCTCCAAATCAGCCGATGCTTTGGTCTTTAAATTAAAAAGAAAGAAAAAAAAATCTCCCTTCCGAGGACGACGTAAAACGTACAATGTGACGTCAGCGACTTCAACACCAGCGTCGAGCTTATAAAATTCGCTGATCGGTAATTTACGGCGCACGCGTGCGTGAAGAAAGGACCCTACAAATAGCCGGTTGCGCAAGCCCCGATACATATTTTCTTTGATGCAATCCCCGTTGCAGGTGGCGCTTGATTGCCCGACAGTACAATATTATCATTGAGCAATATAACAATATATCTTTGACGGAATATAAATTACGAGAAGGTTGGCTGTGATTTGTGTGTCGTTTACTCGTCATGCAGATTCATTGGGTCATTATGACTTCTTTTTGAGTTTTATCGATCGTTTTAATTTTATTATTTTATTTAAATATTATCTGAAATGCTGTTTTTGGCAGTTGCGCGTACACGTTACGAGGAAAGGAAAAAAAAATGTTTATACGGCAATCAAATTGGCAGCACTTTGTCCTCGTGTGTCAAACAGACGCGCGGAAAAAAAATGAAAAATAACAGACTCCTGTTTACTTTTTTTTTTTTTTTTTTTTTTTTTTTTTTTTTTTACTAAGTTTGATTAAAACAAAACAAAAAATGGCAGTCATTACCACCAAAACGCGCATGAAGGTGCTTGGGGAGAAAAAAAAAAAGACGATTACGTAAAAATGTCACTCACACGCAAAAGTGCCGAACCCGTCGATGAATCGGCGTAGGTTATTTCCTGCAGTTAACCCCGCAAACTCGCAAGGCTCGACATCTACTATAGAGATTATGCCGAAAATTCGGCTGAAAACTGTCCCGTACGATATACAAAAGAATTAAATAACAATTGAAAAATAATAATGAATAAACAAATAAACAATATTTTTCTTAATTTTACCTTACAGTACATGGACATTGGCGAGGACATTGGCGTTCCGGACGACTTCACCAACAGCGAAATGGTCACGGGCATGTGGTGGCGACATTTGCTCGCCGGTGGAGTTGCGGGTGCCGTTTCCCGAACGTGTACGGCGCCACTCGATCGCGTCAAAGTTTATCTTCAGGTGAAAAATCTAACTTATTCGACGCAATAACAATTTACTTGAGAGAATTAATTTTTTTTTTCTTCTTTGGACAACAGGTGCACGGCTCGCGGCAGTGTAAAATCGTCAGCTGCGTCAAGTACATGTGGCGGGAAGGCGGGCTGAGCAGTTACTGGCGCGGCAACGGCATCAACGTACTTAAAATCGGCCCCGAGACGGCCCTCAAGTTCATGGCTTACGAGCAAGTCAAACGAGCCATCAAAGGACGCGACAATCGAGAGCTGTGTATCTACGAAAGGTTCGTCGCCGGCTCGATCGCTGGTGGCGTCAGCCAATCCGTCATCTACCCACTCGAGGTAAATTATTATTATTTTTTCATTTGGCTCAATGTACCGATCAATACAAATAACCATTCGTCTCGATTGAACAGGTACTAAAGACACGATTAGCGCTTCGACGGACGGGAGAGTTCAAGGGGGTTATCGACGCGGCGCAAAAGATTCACAAGCAAGCGGGCTTGAAAAGCTTTTACAGAGGCTACATTCCCAATCTCATTGGTATCCTGCCGTATGCGGGAATCGATTTGGCTGTTTACGAGGTTCGTGTCACACAATTTTATTTACAATTCATCGTTCTCTTATACTCATTTTACGATTCTGAGAACAAAAAAAAAAAAAAACAATACCCACACATTGTTACCATTGTCGAGGTGTTCCTCTATTATTCTGTATAAGTAGAACTTTGGTGAAGAACGATTGCAACTCAGAGGCATAATCTGGCTGTACGATCGTTTACAATACAATAATAAGTCAAAACATTTATTACATAAACTACGTGCATCTGTATAAATAATTGTTATCATTTAATTGTAGACGCTAAAAAACCACTACTTACGAACACACGCTAAGGATGAGCAGCCGTCGATCGGGCTATTAATATTCTGTGGCTCGGCGTCGAGCACCGCTGGCCAGGTTTGCTCTTATCCGTTGGCTCTAGTCAGGACGCGGCTGCAGGCCCAAGTCACCCCAGCCAACGGCCAGAACAACATGGTCGGCATTTTCAAAGACATCCTTGATCGCGAAGGCCTCCGCGGTCTCTACCGAGGGCTATTGCCTAATTTCATCAAGGCAAGTGTCAATTCGTTTTTTTTTTCCCCATGTGTAATTTGTCCATGAATTTTTGTTTTTATAATAAAAATTATATTTTTCTCGTTTACAGGTCGTGCCAGCAGTATCAATAAGTTATGTTGTATACGAGCATGTACGGTCGGCACTTGGTGTCAACATGACGTGATGAAGACAAAACTTAGGATGATCAATTTTTATTAAATTATTGCGTATTATTACGGTAGGAACTCGCAAGACGCTAGTGCGTGAACCGTGTCGTGCCGTTCATGAATGAACATTATGGCGACATCTCTTTTATATATCTCTTAATCTCTCGTCCTAGTTAATCTTATACATAACTGAATTTATTTGTTGTTACACAAAGTTTGAAAAAGCAAAAGAATTATCCTGTAATTCTTTGCGGCTTCTCTTCATCGATTTAGGGGGACTAAATATTGTTCAGAGAACGCATGTATGTATATAGGAATTAATTCTTGACTATGACGATAATGTTGTCGTCTACAAACAATGGGATGGGCAGAAGAAGTAACAAAATGTGCTTTGAAATAGCTCTGGAACGCTATCTCGTGCACACGCCGGGTTTTTAATTTCTTGTGAAACTTTTTTTTATATAAACTAAAGTTGCTAAAGGTAAAAACTCTTGGCGTTTTTGTTGATAAGCACCCACGCTCCTGGCTACTTCGAAAAGTTCGAACGATAGTAAAATAGAATATCGAATATCCCGCACAGCAGGTTTGGAAGGGATCGACTGATTTTTTTCTCGACGGCCAGGCATTGTAATTAAAAAAAAAAAAAAAAAAAAAAAAAAAAAAAAAAANAAAAAAAAAAAAAAAAAAGACAAAAAGAAAGAAATAAGAAAAAAAATAGTAAGATCGAGTTATACTTACTCTGTGATAAGTATGATTATAAGATTTAAGAAAAATAATTTAAAAATCGCCAACAGTCGGTGTGCACTTTAACGACTAATAATGTATGCACGCCGCACATCCTAACTGAAACTGTTTAAATTGTATCGTTAGGTACTATTTTGAATTGCATGTAAATTTATAAAGTTATAAAGTTTAAGAAATCTTTTGTCTGGTCTTAATAGAAATGAAAAAATGGTTAAAGAATAACTAAACGATTATCTGACCTCGTTCAAAACGCTCGCCTCAATGCAACGCCATTCATTCCTTGTAAGTTTATTGTACATTGTAGCTAGAAAGTTATATTTATATAAAATATTCACGCGTCTTCGAATCTCGCTTGTTAAGCTTTTTTGATAACGCGAAACTCAGCGTCACATTATTACAATCAAAATAAAACAAAGAAAACTTTTAAATGGTTACTCTATATATTAATTTTCAATACTAAAGATCGTTACCGCTGATAAAAATGCTATAAGAAAAGAAGCTCTTCGACATACTTAATAATTTAAGACATAATTAAATTCATTCAAATAATAACTCGTTGCATGTTTTAAATTTTGAAAAATAGTATGGTTTCTGTTTTAACAAATCTTAGTTTTGATGAAAAAAACCGTATTGATTTGTTGTATCGAAGAGTTATTGTACTAATAAAAATTACAGCAAAACCGAGTCGATGACTTTTTCTAGTTCTTTTTTACGGCTCCATGTCTCAATGTATATTGGTAGTTTTTTTCTATGAATAAACATAATTTATTGACTCGCCTGAATTATTTTCTTATTCCAGTGGCCTTTAAGATCTCTTTTACATTCGCTCTATATTGACATGAAAGGATAATGAAAACAATAGACATTTAATGTAATGCAAATAATTTATATTAAATGTGAAACAATAATAATTTCTTACATAAAATGTTTCGTTTACTTTCAATAACGAAATTTGCATATAATCTCAAGTAATCCACAACGTGTATGCAATGAATTTAACATTTCAAATTATTTTAGTCGTTATCTTATATATGTTGATCAAACTTTACTAAAAAACATAAACGCAATAAATTTGGGATAAAAATAATCTTTTATAAAAATTAACGATAACTTTTGATGAGACTCAGTAAGTATTCAAGACTGTTCTACGACTCTAAAGTAATAATTTTTACAGGTTCTACTATTAAAAATCGAGTTATTCAAAGTATCGAAATATTTCTTCAAATCACCGTTCGCGTATTTACAAGCCTTTAGTAAGATACAGAGTTATGCGATTTAACCTTAACAGTAACAGATCTAAGTAAATTCGCGCATCATAATAACAATTGATAAACATCCTGTATAATTTTTGCATAATTATCTTTGAAGCTTGTAAAGTTAGCACAGAGCATCTGCATTCACATATCTCCACTGCAATAAAAAATAAAGCCCTGATGTATAAATCACCCCAACAGTTGTTAAGTACTTATACTTTCTTTAAAAAAAAAAAAAATATCAACAATTAGGCCATAAAAACAGATGATACATCGCGTACGTGAAAACGACACGCTTAACTTTCTTTTTTATCAGTAGCTATTTCATTTAACATATAACATGTAAATATACGACTCGTCTATCTATCTCCGTTTTTTTTTTTTTTCTTCTATATCATACAAAAATTATCGTTTACACAGACATATAAATTTGTCAGCCTGACGTGTGTAGAGAAAATAAGTTACAAAGTGGAATGCAATATCACGTTTTTTTAGTAATGTGAATAGACTATAAGTCCACTGCTGCATCTTTGTCCAAAATCCAGAAAAGAGTCCCATTTGTTGGCTGCACTCTGGCTGCAGGTAAACTTTTGTCTTTATCTTTTAATACACGCTGAAAAACGAAAGTCTCGTGAAAAACATTGAATATTACTAGTATCACCAATATATATTAAAAAGGCGAACTTGAAATTTGCAAAGTTCAAAATAAAAATATATTAGACAACAAATTAATCAGATCTTTTATTGTAAAATCCAAATTAAAAAAAAATTTCTATCATGGTTTAAAAACTTACTTTGATCATCTCCTTTTTACTAGAACCAGTAGCTGCAAAGATACATGCTCTTGCATTATTGATAACTGGAAATGTAAGAGTTATCCTGGACGTTGGTGGCTTAGGGGAGTCATTAATTGGTGAAACCCACAAGCTAGTCTCATGTAATAATCGGTGATTGGGAAATAGAGAACAAGTGTGTCCATCCGGACCCATGCCAAGCAACAAAACATCAAATCTAGGTATGCTGTCAGGGGGAAAAAACACTGACATTTTTTGTATATAATCCTTGGCTGCTGCCTCAGCTGCAAAAACACCCAAAGATCATAATTCACTAAAATAAAGTGAAAAACCCTTGCTCATGATTAACTTTTAAAAAGCTACAGAGCATTGAAATATTGCTGTTATATTGTAAGTCTTTTTCTACCTGAAAGATCAGGGTTGATCTTGATAAACTGACTTTCAGAAATAGGAATTTTTTCTATAAGTTGGCTCCTGTAGAGGCCAAAAGTCGAATCCTGATTGTCAAAGGTAACGACCCTTTCGTCACAAAAGAAGAACCGCCACTTGCTCCAGTCCATCTTGATCATAGGCAAACCTTCTGCAAGGAATTTTACCATCGAGCCACCTGCATTTTAGATAGAGAAATAGAAAATGCAGGTACATACAATAGAACTCCAAAACGAAAAGCTATATGTAAACGTCAAAGGGTCATTATCACATCCGAAGCTCGACTCCCGGAAACTTCAATCTGCTGTTTCATAACCTCAAATTTTCCCTTTCTTAAGAAATAGCTCTTTCTTCTACAATCGCCGCGAAAAAACTTCGCTTAATAATCTGATTTTATACGGAAGCACCACTAAATCGTTGCTATAAAATGTAGAAAATTTAAATATTACTAACCGGAAAGTCCAATCTTGAAAACGTCCTCGTCGTCGATAGCCTCCTTTGCGTACTCCTCTATCGTTCTCGCAAGCTGCTGCACGACGCCGGCTTCGTCTGGCTCGATCAGTATTTTCGGCTCCATGTCCAAACTCATCGCCTCTTGACTCCAGAAGGATAAGGTATCAACGAAGCACCAGGAAGTCGAGGTAATTCAATATATACTGCCTCTGAATTTACCGGATACATACAATCATAAATACTTACAATCTTCTCTGTCTCTCTCTCTTTATGTTAAAAAAAAATATGCGCCATGACCAACTTAACTTGACTTGCAGCGCGGGAGGCACAAATTAACGCAAATTAACGCAAATAGCATTTTACCGTTCATGTATGTATTTAATTGATTTTTGTCAACAGTCACTTGCTACGGTGTCGAAAATTTTCAAACATCTTCAAATCCATCCTAAGCATTAATTATATTTTTGTTCACACACACACACACATGCACACACCAGCATTTTTAGAAATAAAAAGTATAAACATTATATAGTTTGATAAGTATTGTTGAGTACTTTTGTTTTTAGAGTTGTTTTTATGAAATAACTTATAATTGAAAGCTTCATCGAACAGATAGATATTGGTAAATCGTTAATGTTGTTGATTTGGTGCTAAGAGTTTTAACAACGAAATATAAAACTTTTTTTTATTAATAAGTAAAAACAAATTTATAGTTTTTAATCAAATTCTGAGATTCACCATTTCACTAATTTGGTAGAAAACAATTCACTAGGTCGACACTGACACACTAGGGTCCCTAGCTAGTGTATTTTAGAATCAGCGCCTACCCTTGAAGGGGCTTACTCACTCAAAATCAGCCACGCGAGATGGCGCTGACTGTAAACTGAACGCGTGTCGGTATTGTAGTTAATATAATATTTATGCAATATGCACACCGCATACCCTCTGTTAATAACTACATACCGACACGCGTATATATATATATCTCACATACACATGTGTATGTGCGAAACTTTTTTTTTACCGCTACCACGTGTGAAAGACTTGAAATTTATTTTTACTTACAAGTAGAGCTTAAAAGTTCAATTAAAAGTAAACATCGCATTAGTAAGGTGTACATAAGTAACCTGCTTCGAGTGAAAGTTTTATATTTTTTGCCCTTAGCTATTTATTTTGGAGTTGTCATCCTTAGACTGTGACAATGAGACCAAAACCAACTTTGGGCATCACCTGGACGAATATCGAGCTGTCGGGGCTGCTCGAGGATGAGGACTCGCACGTCCACGAGGAGCGTGTCACGAAACACCTGGCCCTTTTACCCTGTCACCTTAGCGATGTAAATGCCGCTATACGCCAATATTTTGATGAGAACATCAATATTTATGATCCTGAGTAAGTTTTTGTCCACTGATGCATTTCATTTCATTTTCTCCTTAAAATGTCGCTCAAGCTTAAGTGGTACTGTATTTTTTGTACTTTATTGTTTGGTAGGTTATACTTAGGCTAAAAATTGCATAAACATATTTAAAGCATGTTGTACACATTTTTTTAGATTGAAGGGTCTGGTACTAGCTTACAAAAATCCTAAGGTTCTGACGCCAATGGGTACCATTATGTATGATACATATTACATACACATTGACATTGAAGCAGATTTTTACGTTTTCAGGCCAGAAGTAGGCCAGAGTTTAAGAGGTTTGTAGCTAGTAGTTATATACTTTTTATTCCCATGATATAATATTTGATTTTCCATTGTTTTAGGATTTGTAAATAAAAAAGGAACCAATCACGTTGGTCTCTTAGTGCATAAAGCTTTTAATGTATCGATACCAAAACCAGACGGCTTAGAAAACTGGCCTGATACAGAGGATGATTTTGAATGGCCTGGTCATAAATTAAAAGTTGGGCAAGAAGTTAGGTTTACCCTTGATGTGGTGGATTTTAAGTCAAGACTGCCATACATGCGTGGCTCTTTAAATGAAGATTACACGAGAGGTTGTAAACTCTTCAATGAAGAGATTGCAGCAACATTTAATAACGAAAGCTATGGATCTGAGATGCAAAACTTTACTGAATATAGCCATGAGGACCAAAAGGAAGTTTCAATTAAGCTCCAGAGAAAGCGCATTGTTTTTTCTAGTGACTCTGAAAATGAAGTTGATCAAGTAGATGAAGAAAAAGAAAGATCCAAAGAGGAAGATGTAGCCAAAAAAATATCAAAGAAGAAAAGAAAAAGAATCTCTACATCACCTGAACTAGAAAGTGAAACTGAAATTCATCCTAGCAAAAAATCTAAAATAGGGATTAGGAAGGAAAAATTATTTGACAGTTTTAATGACTCTAGTTTTGAAGTACCAGAAACACCATCCAAGAAAAAGAAAAGAAAACTGAAAATGAATGGTTCAGAACTGTTAGACGAATCGGAAGTTATTGATAAAGAAGTGCCATTAAAAATTACTGACTGCGGAGATTTACTAAATACAGATGATGAAAGGAGTTACAAAAAAGCGTTAAAAAAAATGAAAGTGACTGTTAAAAATGGTCAGTCCGAAAAAGCTAACGATTTTCAATTTGCCGTGCCAAAACTTAAAACAAAAAAAAAGAAGAAAGTCTCTGTAGAGGATCCGTCTCTGATGGACACAGAAGATGAAAGGGAATACAAATTATCCCTGAAACCTCTAGTTGAAGGTATAAAGGAAGAAACTTCAAGAAAAAAACACAAAAAGTTGAAAAAGCACAAAGGTGACTGTTCAGAAAGTGAAACCGAACAAAAGGACCGTAAAGTGAACCAAATCGGTTTTGATGAATGAAACATTAATCGTGATGTAAATACTGCTAAGAATAAAAATAGTGAGGTCCACACTGAAAATTGATAATAAAAATCGAATAGAACTTGATTATCATAAATAATTGATTCATTTGAACAAATGAAAGAATTTGAGCTCTGAAACTTGTAAAATAATTGTAACTGATTTTGTAACTATGTAAATACATATAATATAATTTTAAGAATGTTTGCGTTACATTCGCAGTCAAACACCTCATTAATGTTGATTGAGTGTTTGCTTCTTCATTGTACTGTTTCAGAGTCAGAAGTTCCTTCTGTATGCATTTAACATACTGTTGTTATTTGCTCACAAAGGATCTTTTATTTGGACCTAAATGTTAAAGTATGAAGGACAAAGGAATGAAAGGAATTAATATTTGCTCAATAGGAATTTAGTGTTGTATTTTATGAGTCCGAAGTAGGTATAGAGTTTTTGTAGAAATTATTATATTGTTGAATAATTGACGAATTAATACTTAAGAAAAATTTATTTTATATTTGTACATTTGTATGCAATGTACATTGCGTGTACTCGTAAATATATTTTGAACATAAAAAAAACTTATTTCTCCAAAGTTGTAATGACATGTAATTATTTCACATTTAATGGATTTCCGTAATTCCTGCATGTATTTTATGTTGTACAGAAAGATTATGATATGAGGTGGTTTTAAAAATATGTACTGTTCGTTAGCCACTACGACAGTTCGACATTTCGTCACGTTAACGAATGTCAGTAAGATCGGTGACTTTCTTACCAACAGTCAACTGACTGTTTTTAATGACCGTGCGGGCCGGGGACCCCGGTCCCCGGTTAAAATTTCGAACATTGACAGTAAACAAATAGGCAATCAGTGAAGTTTATAAGTATTGCAATACTGTTTACTTTTCGGTTGCATAAATAAGTATTGAATCAAAGAACTACTGTGCTGCAGTTATAAGTGCCAAAATCCATTGAAAAATCATTTACATCTCCATAGCATAAGTAATATTGACTAATTTTCCTGTTTCTAATTGCTTGTGAGTCGAAATCATGCAGAACTGTTCTAAGGTCATGTTAGCCAACATAATACCTTACTATTCTTTCGTTCATTATTTTTTTTATATACACATAATAAATGTGCGAGTACGATTATCTCTAAAATTCAGGATAAGTTTAACGTGTAACCTATACGGCACATAGAACACGGAAATCAGTGTATGAATAAAATCTCTGTAACTTTACTGCTTCAAACTACTGTCAAAACATCATCAACCTTTTTGCTTTTGGATTCCTGTGGAAAGTGCGATTGCAGATACTCCAGTACAGTTTGGTAAGATAATTTATTGTACTAACAAGTTCATTTGATTAATCAATGATTTTTGTGTATAAATTTAAGGGTTTTTTAAAGTAAATATTACTGCGATTTTTGTCGAACAGTTGTGATTATATTGATGAACTAAAAGAGGAATGATTTTTTTTACATTGAATTCAAATTTAAACTAGAATTTCAAATATAAGTGGCAGCAAAACTTAAACGTGTAATGGACACCAATGACCAGAACCAGTGATTTTGCCCAGGATTCCCCTTACTTGTATTGCACAAACAAGCTTCACACTAAGGAAGAGAGTATAAGGATAGGAGTCACTCCTCACCTCGGGCTATCTTCTTCCGCGTTTCGCATTATTGGAAAAATTTCTGCGGCCCTCGTCTTCTCATTTTTTTTTTTTTTTTTTTTTTTTTAGAATCAGCGCCTACCCTTGAAGGGGCTTACTCACTCAAAATCAGCCACGCGAGATGGCGCNTTTTTTTTTTTTTTTTTTTTTTTTTTTTTTTTTTTTTTTTTTTTTTTTTTTTCATACTACAGCTTATACCCATTATGTGTATGCATGTGTGGGCAGTAGGTATGTACACAGAGAGAAGTAAACCTATATACTCTTCTCTCTTTTCTCGGTAAAATATATAATACCTACCTGTAATGTAATGTATAACCGCATCAGAGCAGGACGAGCACCAATAATGCAAGGTTTTGCTATAAGCCTCGAGTGCAGCGTAGATCTTTTTTTCTCAAACTCCACTGGCTATTGTTTGCCAATGTATAGATGAAAAATTCGCCCATCTCTTTCTGGCTTTTCAATTTTCAGATCAAAACATTTTATGGTTCATCACGTTATCACGTTACAGTAGTACATTGTGAAAATAAAAGTATGTAAAAAATCGCCAATTAGTAAGAGTGAGGTCTGCAAATCGAACAACGAGTTAACACATATCCACGCTGTCAATAAAAAACGTGATGAATGTCAGTCCACGCGTTGCATACGTGCGTGCATCCGTGAATGCACAAATTTTTTTTTTTTTTTTTTTCGCTCGATCGACCCGATTGGCCGGCGATAAAGTCCCCTCCGAGCAAGTAGCAATGAACAATGACAGCTTTCATGCGTACCTACACTGAAAGAAGCTGGTAGATGCACCTAAACATCAGGTAGGTATACAGATTTACAATACGCACAGCAGCAGTATAACGGCTCTTTGCGCGAGATTCTTATCCATCCCTAGCCGGATGTTTTCACGAGAGTGCAGACCTGTATAGTTACACCGCACCTATCAATCATGTCGATAAATATTTATTTTCGAGATCGCGACCAACTGTATGCTTTTTTTAAAAATCTTTTTTAATGTTAAAGGTTGGTACTCGATGAACTGATCATTCGTTATGATCGCAGAAAAATCGAAAGTCCCAAGTAAGCACATTTTTTCGGAGAATATATAATATATATATAACCGACGCGGATCCAAGGCAGAGAGGGCCAACGAACGTGTGTTTCCCGGAGCGCGCATAAATGACGGCTGTTGGCCCCGTGATGGATGAGATCGTCGCGTTATCCGGTAAACATCTCGCATCGACGAGAGAGACAGAGATATAACCAGCGGCAGTCGCTTATTAAACCCTTCGACTAAAATCCCCTCGGCCGGTGTGTGTCCCTCGTTTACACGCGTCGCGTTGGCGAAAAAGATCGATGACGAGTGGCCGAAAAACTTTTTAACGAGCCCTCCCCGAGCTCGTCACGTGCATACTTATATACCCCGTATATACACTCGGGCTACCGGTCCGTTTTCACTTTTGCCAGTGCGGACGGCGATCGAAAGGAAATCCGAAATGTCGCGACTGGCTGTCCTCGAAGACACCCGCGAGATATCGCATCATATAACGATTACGCGGTGGGACGTATCGTTTGTCATTTATATGCGCATTAACCGTCGTCGCGATGAGGCAGTAAACCGTCCGCGTGATTTATTGCGCGGAATCAAAACTCGTTTCGCGAAGCCTTACCTCCCCCGATTTTTCAAATGTCCGGTGTTCGTATCATAATTATCCTTTGGAAATTACTTTTGCCGTGTTCGTGAACTGCAAAGTTTTCTAGCTGGTGGTTTTTAACGGTATACCCCCGTGCATCCACCGTACAAATGCAAGCACGAGGGTGAAAAAAAAAAAAAAGAAAAAAAACTGTAAGTACACCACTCACTTGCTACGAGGATGAAAACGAGAAACATGACCATAATGTACTCCCACCAGGGGGGAGAATACGTGCTTTGCGACAGGAGCACCAGGAAGGAGCAAAACGACGCACACGCTACGGAGTAGAAGACGATGGACATGGTGACCGCAGTCCCCGGCTCGCAGTCCGCTAAGAGGTTGGCCAACCAAGTGTAGCGCGGCCTGACCCTGCCGATGTTATCCGTGCAGAAGCCCTGTATCAGCTGCCGGGTGAGCTGCTCGACCAATATTTGACAATCAATGTGACGTTTGTCAAATTACCGCATAGTAGGACGGTCATTCATGAAAATGGTTAACCTGGGACTCGACTGGCGTGCACAGACTTTCGCTCGAATCCATGGCCATGAGATCGGTATTGGCAGGCGAGGCGAGCTGGTGGCTACTGGAGCCACCTGTCCCCGGACCCGTAGTACCGGCCATGCTCGTCGTCGTGTCCGTCGACAGGGTGTTGTCCATGGCCTGCGAGGGTGGCGGGGCCGGCCTGTACCTCAGCACGATCACGCTCACCGAGACTATGGTGTAAGCGAGAAAGGTGCCGATCGACATGAACTCGACCAGATGATCGAGATCGAAGAGCAGGGCTATGAGACCACTGAAGACCCCACTGATCGCCAGATTGACGGTAGGCACTTGGGTGCGCTTACTCACTCGGGCGAGAAAGCCGAACAGCAGACCGTCGCTCGCCATGGCGTACATTGTCCGTGGTAGCGAGAACAGCGAGCCGAACAGCGTTGTCGTCATGCCGCACAGCGCGCCCACGCTGTTTTCAGTCATGTTTTACATTATATATATATACACATCATTTTTCTCGGATTTCCCACCCCCTCTTGATTGGCTATACACTTAAGATTTTTATGGCTATAACCCTCAAACAGTACCTACGATTTTTATAACAATCCCAGGAGTCTAAGAAAAGTATCGTCAACTATTATATATTAGCCCAACTTTCAGTTGAATCTCTCCCCCCTCCCTAATTACTTTTTATATTAAATAAACTCCCGCGAATCCATCAAAGAATTATCAGTCGATCGATCCCCCCCAACGAATCGGATCAGCGACTAAAACCAATCACGATGAACGCACGAAGCAATCCCTTCACGCCCGGCTATTTCAAATCACTACCACCCCCAACAACCCCCCACGACAAAAATAGTACCTGATGACGTATCTCGCCCACGGCAATCCTCGGGCGTCAAAGGCCTCCGGCAGAGCCGCCGTCCGGCTGATGCGGCTGTAAGGCTCGACGAGGGTCAGGGCGGCGCCCACGAGCACGTAGCCAATGGTCACGATGGCCATGGACAGACCAGTGGCGCGAGGTATGCTACGCCCGGGATCCCGGGCCTCCTCGCCCGACGTGGCGATCGAATCGAAGCCGACAAACGCGTAGAAGCACGTTGCGGCACCTGGACAGGGGACACAAAGAATGCATGACACAACCAATCGGTGAATCACGCGGGTGCATGGTCGAACGAGAAAGTCAACCCACCGGCGAAAACACCGGTCAGCCCGTAGGGCAGGAAGCCGTTGCCATTGTAGTTCCAGTTGGCGATGTCACCGTGGTAGAAGCCCAGCCCGATGACCAAGCCCATGACCCCAAGGTTGACGATGGTGAGCAGCGAGTTGACGGCTGCCGAACACTTGACGCCCACGGTCAGTAGGAGAGCGTACACCAGGCACAGGGCGCCGGCCAGGGGATCGGGAACTGTGCCGAGGGACTCGTAGCCCGAGACGAGGCTCTTGGTGAAGTTGCTGATCGCCCGGCCCGAGAGAGAGTCCACGTAGCCGCTCCAAGCGCGCGCCACGGATGCCGCGCCTAATTGTTATGGTGGTTCATTTTTTAGAAATCCATGCATCATTTTTTCCATGCTGCTATACGTGTGTTTTAGCCTCAAAAGTTTGAGGATCGCTCGGTTTAATGCTACGTTGGCAGTAGAACAAGTCGAGTATGGTAGGACGCGGGTAAGTGCGTGCGTTTACTGTATATCACTGTTATTTTACCAAGGCAGTGTTTTTACAAAAATTTTAAAACCTTTTCTAAAAAGGTACCAAGTGCCAAGTTGACATTGGCAGTAGAACAAGTCGAGTATGGTAAGACGCGGGTAAGAGCATGCGTTTACTGTATATCACTGTTTATATTACCAAGGCAAGTATTTTTTTTTAAAAACTTGAAACCTTTTCTAAAAAGGTACCAAGTGCCAAGTTGACATTGGCAGTAGAACAAGTCGAGTATGGTAAGACGCGGGTAAGAGCATGCGTTTACTGTATATCACTGTTAATATTACCAAGGCAAGTATTTTTTTTTAAAAACTTGAAACCTTTTCTAAAAAGGTACCAAGTGCCAAGTTGACATTGGCAGTAGAACAAGTCGAGTATGGTAAGACGCGGGTAAGAGCATGCGTTTACTGTATATCACTGTTAATATTACCAAGGCAAGTATTTTTTTTTTAAACTTGAAACCTTTTCTAAAAAGGTACCAAGTGCCAAGTTGACATTGGCAGTAGAACAAGTCGAGTATGGTAAGACGCGGGTAAGAGCATGCGTTTACTGTATATCACTGTTAATATTACCAAGGCAAGTATTTTTTTTT